GACCAGAGTTACGGAACGAATTAAGTTCGTAAACCGAGGTACCACTGTATTTTAAGCATTTGGTCCCACTTAAATGTTGTCAAGTGACCTAAAGGCTTCAGTCAGACAGGATTCTCCTCTCTTCTTTCTGCCTTATTCTCCCCACCTATCCAGTTTCTATACCAAACAAGACATCCATCTGTTGAATTGCTGCTCTCTGCTATTTCACTTCAACTGAGATTTTTTTGTATTTGCGCTGAAGCCTCACTCCATCTTGCTTTGACTTAATTTACACCTGTGTTTCCTTTCTACATCCACTGTAAGTCTCCTTACCTAGCATGCTCTTGAACCCTTGTGAATCCTAATATTCCCTATAGCTGTGCATACATGAAATTGTAATGTTAAATTTGTTTTAAGAATTTTAGAAAACCCTGTTCATCTATGTTTAGCTAGAGAGGAGGAAATGCTTTGCTTCCCTAGTTAAAATACAGCTTACTTACAGTCTTGGCTTATGTGTAGGTAATAGAGAGCAGCAAGCATTTGCAATCCAGGGTTATCCGAAAATGCCAAGGTCTTTAGAACTTCTAAGGAGATCTTGCCAAGTAATGACATTTCAAAACCTTAAAGAAAAATGTAATGACAACAGACTCTGAATTGTACTGGAAGAAGTGAAAATACTTGAAGAATCCAACTACATGGAACAGAAAGTAGTAGGTGAAGGGGAAACAGAAAAAAAACCTTCAATATGAAAATATTCTCTGTGCATGCTTTGAAATCAACATAGTGGATAGAATTGAATAAGCGACTGAAAATATGGCCACCTTGTGCTTAGTTCTTTTTTAAAATGGTTTAGCATCCTTTCCTTCCTTTAATTGCCTTTTCTTCTTGATATCATTTCCCTCCATCTTCATTTGTCCTTAGCGATCTTGGATTCCCTTCATTGACGTATATAATCTAATCCAAATGACTTTTGTTTACAATATCTAAGATGTCACTCCTTCAGAAGTTATCATAATCTTACTAATAAAATCATGTAAATTGCCACAGCTACTCAGATGAAATTCAGATGCATACAAGCATGGTATAGCCAAAATGGGAGGTAACTGCGTTCTCAAGAAGAACCCAATGTTTAAAAAAAGGAAAAATACTGTAAGCTGGAAGGCAGAAAAGTTCTCCAAATAATTCAGTGAGGATTTTATATATTTAGAAACTATAAAATGCTGAGTGACTGCAGGGAGATGAAGCAGAATTGATGATAGATTTAATCCTATGTGTATTTTAAGAATTTCCTTATAAACTACTTTGAAATTTATAAAGAAAAGCTGAGTAAAAATTTAAAAGAATAAAAGTCATTATATATATGTGTGTGTAAAAAACAATGAGTTTTTATATATATATAAAAATTATTTATGTGTGTGTTTACACACATATAAAAAATTATACATATATAAAAAACTCATCAAATTTGAAAAGTTTCCGTAATTTATTTGCAACTAAAGTTTCAGATATCCCAGGTCTTAATATTAGTATTTTTCTCTTCTTAAGAACTAGAAATGAGTGTGGACAATGTACACTGCATGCACAATTATTAGGCAAGTTGTATTTTTGAGGATGAATTTCATTATTGAAC